TCCACTAAACATTCACCACACTACAGTATACAACCCACAAGACATTCCTCCACTAAACATTCACCACACTACAGTATACAACCCACAAGACATTCCTCCAGAAACATTCACCACCTACTATAAACACAAGACAATCCTCACCCACACTACAGTATACAACCCACAAGACATTCCTCCACTAAACATTCACCACACTACAGTATACAACCCACAAGACATTCCTCCACTAAACATTCACCACACTACAGTATACAACCCACAAGACATTCCTCCACTAAACATTCACCACACTACAGTATACAACCCACAAGACATTCCTCCACTAAACATTCACCACACTACAGTATACAACCCACAAGACATTCCTCCACTAAACATTCACCACACTACAGTATACAACCCACAAGACGTTCCTCCACTAAACATTCACCACACTACAGTATACAACCCACAAGACACTCCTCCACTAAACATTCACCACACTACAGTATACAACCCACAAGACTGACTGAGTTTTGGTTGTACGCCGCTTTTAGCAATATTCCAGCAACATCACGGCGGGGAACACCAGAAATGGGCTTCACACATTGTGCCCATTTGGGGATTCGAACCCGGGTCTTCGGCGTGACGAACCAACGCTTTAACCATTAGGCTACCCCACCGCCCCACAACCCACAAGACATTCCTCCTCTAAACATTCACCACACTACAGTATAAAACCCACAAGACGTTCAGCATATAATAGGCGAGGTGAAATGGGGCTTAGCGTCGCACTTAAGAATATTTCGCTCATATGACGACGTGCATGCGTGTGTATGTGTGGCTTCTTGTAATAGCCTAGACTTAAGCTGGTTTTATAGTGCTAGCTCACTGATATACCATTAGGCAGTTAAGCATGAATACTCCACTCGGACACATTATACTGACTACGAGCCGACCAGTCCTTGATGTACCCATTAATGCAGAGCAGGGAACAAGAAGTACCATATTTTTGGTAGGACGCGGCCAAGGATCGAACCCGCGACCTTCCTCTCTCCGGGCGGAGGCTCTAACCACTACACCACGGAAGCGGTCATCAACATATTATATTCAGTATAAAGTAGGTATTCAGTATATATTGGGTATCCTTGGTATGTACAGTTTGCATTGTGCGTGAGTGAGTTGTTTTACGCCGCACTCCGCACTATTCAAGCTATATCGAGTCTGGACCAGGCAATCCGGTGATCAACAGTATGAGCATCGATCTACGCATCTGGGATACGATGGCATGTGTCAACCATGTCAGCACAGTGTACGCCTGTAGGTAAACAGTATAAAGTGGGTATACAGTATAAAGTAGGTATTCAGTATAAAGCGGGCATACAATATAAAGTGGGTATACAGTATAAAGTGGGTATAGTTAGTGGGTGAATATGGTTTTACGCCGCTTTTAGCGATATTCCAGCAATATCACGGCGAGGGACTACAGAAATGCGCTTCACACATTGTACCCATGTGGGGAATCGAACCCGGGTCTTCGGCGTGACGAGCGAACGCTTTAAACACTAGGCTACCCCACCGCCCCATAAAGAGGGTATAAATCGGGTATACAGTATAAAGTGGGTATTCAGCATACAGCGGGTATTCAGTGTAAATAGGGCTCCTATTCGCCGGCCTGTGACGTGGCCCTGCTTTTGATGATGAACAATCTTGAGGGGTTCCACCACAAAATCAGCAAGGTTGCCCAACAGACGCACCCTAGCATCTATAATGTGGTCCATCCCCTCAAACGAGAGTAGCCCCTAAGTGAAGCGAGGTTGCAGGAACAAGCGCGAACCTCCCGGTAAGAACCGGTTTTGAACCACGCTCATTGAAGGACAATAGTATGACACTGCGTGCAGCGACCAAATAAAGAGTTCACTCTACAGAAACGATCAATGTTATTTGTTGGTGCCGAAGTGTATACAGTAATTTCACCATTGAAACTCTCGTTTGTCTACAGTCCGTTTGGCTCAAAAGCGGACCTATGAATTGCAATCTAACTCGAAAACTATTAAACATAACATACTCAATTAAACGCTGATCATAATCAAAACATCATACCCACTCTGTGAGCTTTTTGCAGAATTTTTGTCCTAAAAATAAAAAAAGTTGTTTAACAAACTATCATTAAAATATTGACACAGTTCACTGTTTGTTACGAGGGAGGAGTGCAGAGAAAGGGACAGCCAGGTGTTCGAGAAGCACGTTCACAGACGAAGTTATTTATTCATTAACCTGTGCTGTGCCGTCTCCATCCGTTCTCGAACATCTGGCTGTCCCTTTCTCTGCACTCCTCCCTCGTAACAAATAGTGAACTGTGTCAATATTTTAATGATAGATTGTTAAACAACTTTTTTATTTTTAGGACAAAAATTCTGCAAAAAACCTCACAGAGTTGGTATGATGTTTTGATTATGATCAGCGTTTCATTGAGTATTTTATGTTTATTAGGTTTTGAGTTAGATTGCAATTCATCGGTCCGCTTTTGAGCCAAACGGACTATACGTTGGGATCATGAACCTTTACAACACCACCAGAGAGGTAACATTCGAGTTGATCTAAACCAAGCCTTACTGAAGTGAATCCCTAGCGCTACACGGTGTAGTGATTATTACTATCAATGTTAATGCCGTATTAATAGTACCAAACTTCAAACTGGGACAGTGTAAATATGAACAGTAGCTTTCATAGAAGTATGCCCAGATATATCTATGCCTGAGTGGACTTGTGTTCAGGAAACTATGTATTTGCGTCTAGCCGTGATTTGTGTCTGTCTGCATAACCTCTAGGTCATCACAGTGCAAACCGCCCCCAATCGTTACAAGGTGTTTGCTGTCTCCGTCCTGCAACATGTCACCCCAGATGCAGGAATCACTATACAGAGATAGCAAACAGAGGCTGCATCCGCCTTCACTCACTCACATGCGAAGAAATCAGTCTAATTCGCCATCCCATGGTCAGATTCAGCGCAGCAAAGGATAGGAGAGAGTGAGTGAGTTAAGATTTTAAGTCACATCGGCAATATTTCAGCCATATCGTGACTAAAGCAAGTTCTAAATATATCAACAATTTAAGTGAAATTATAAAATTCTGCCAATTAAGGACAGTAAAATAACTAGATTATCACAGATATAGATATAAAACTAGTAACAAAATCTAAAACATTTGAACTATACAAGACGATACAATATAAAAAAACAGGCTATTGATCGCCAACAACTGAAGGTAGATCACCATACTAGGGACCATGGGGACTTACAGTACATTTGCTTCCTGCAACAAAGGAGAGGAGAGAGTGGCGGTAGTGTGGTTGGTTTTAATTATATTTTCATGCTATCATTCATTATTCCGCCGGATTCTGTTGCAGTCACTACTAAAGAAGAGCTCAGAATCTCTCCCAAAACATCACCACGGTGTCAAGTGTTTTCTAGTTGACACAGCAAGACGCTCAATGCGCTATACCCAAAAACAAAGGACAGATAAATAAAAACAATTCAACCGTAAATATCTCAAAAAGTACTTGTACAATGACTTCCAAATTACTTGTGCAGATACCCAATCAAATTCCCATCGGTCAAGTCACTAAAATGTACTGTTTGGACGCCATTTGGATTGAAGTTTGTGAACACGTTTTTCACCAGTTCTCTCGATACTTTGCTCCAACAAAATACGGAGCTCGAACTATCAGCTCAATGGCTTGCAAAACTTCCGTACTTTGTGACCATGAACTACTGTGAAAATTTTGCACAAAACATTAGAAGTGTCTTCGATGGCCCATATATTGACTACATCTGGGCCAAAGTTAAAGACTTCCTCACGATTTAAGTACTTTTGAAAAGTTGTATAACATGTATGTTAAGAGGGAACTCATTCTTCTCCCGGACTCCATAAGAGGGACATGATTCGGCTGTCTTTGAGAGATCTGTCAAAAAAGTGTTCATGGTTTGTTTTTTTAGATCCATTCACGATTTCTAGCCATCAAATGTACTCAACCACATGCAACTCAAGAAAGCAGAGGTCGATTACGAACAAATTGTCCATGTGCATGTAGACTGTAATTGTCGATTGCGGGGGGTTCGTTTTTTAGATTTGTGGTGGTAAAATTGGTGTGTGGTTATGTCCGGCCTGGGATGTCGGCGTTTAGATGACTAAATCGATTACTAAGGCTATAGTGTGTTGTTTAGAGGGCTAATGAGTGATTGTAAAGTGAGGTATCATTCCGTGCAATATGGCGTGCAATCTGCAGTGCCACCTGTTCTGCATGTTGGTACATTTGCCCGTATATATATAGGTTCTTTCTTAAATTCATGCATGTGAAGCTTGAGGTTGGTGTGACCTGTTTGGAGTTTGGTTATTTAAAGAAGCTAGTCCCGACTGTGAGGAGCAGAGATTACATTCCTGGAAAGTCTGCGCATACCCACTCGGAAAGAGTTAACAGCTAACATTTTGTAACGCGCCGGTCTGCAGGAATGGGTGCGATACGGGGAATAAAGATAACTGTGGTGACAGCAGGTGCAAAACATCACATTTAGAAGAAAATATCAAAAAGTAAAATTTGATCTTTTCATCAGATATTTATTAACTGATTTCGATGTAGAGCAACTCATATCAAAGTCATACAGTCTCTCTTTCGAACAAATTGCACACAACAAATGAGCTATTTTTCAAGGCACCAGCTACCTGCATCTATGGCGACGCGAGACTGTCAAGTAAATGGCTTCTAATCACCAGGTTAAGAATGTGACTGGCAATCGGTTGATCGATCCCGTGTCTGGTAGCCCATGGTAACATATGATAGCCCTAACAGTTCTAAAACGAGCGATGTAAATCTCACACGAATGTTTAACAAAAGAGCGTTTCGGACATGATGCTAGTTTCACTGAACACGTTTGGGCCGTATCAGCGGTGTAGCTCTGATACAGCGAGGGGTGTGCAAATCACAGGTAAACTACCTGTTGGAAACGCTATTGTTTACGTACCTCCGAATAGCACAAACGCTAACACTGTTACGATAAATCCGTTCATTTTGGACAATCCAAACGTCGATCCGTGTATCTGTTTTACGAGAATTCCCCACGTGTTCGTCTGCACCAAACACAACCTGATGACTGTCAGCCGCTCGTTGTTTTAAAGTTGCATGCCGGGAAGGCGCCACCAGTCAGATCGAGGCGAAGAAGAAGGGCAAATAAACCTATTGTTTAGCATGACAGAGCGGCCATGGGAGTCTGGACGCTGATGGCGATTCCCCGCGGGCAAATGCAAAAGAAAAAAAGGATCTTTCGGGATCTCTCAGCAACAGTAAACGTGTTGCCCCGTAATTAGTATGACACCTCAAACCTTACAGAAATTCGTATTACTTGATTTTGATATTACGTTTGGCCCAGAAGTATTGGACCCCCTCGGGACGCGCGTGCACCCAAGCTAACTTTCTCAACCATGAAGTAAAGCTCGTGGGAGCGGTTCACGGCTGGGAAGGCTAAAATCGTGACGCTTCTCGGTTCAATGAGCGTAGCCTCAGACTCAGACTCAGGATTTTATTCTCATAAATCATACAAAATGATATCGAAAACATACATATATTTTGATAAATACAAAGTGCCATTTTGGCTTATATGCATATGAATATAATATAAATGTATAACTAAAACAGGGATAATACAATTTTCGTTAAACGTGACAGTTTCTGTACCAAAGGATGATAGTCAGATTTCATAAGGGAAACAAATTTATCAATATGGGGGTTATTACCAAAATAGCTAGGGAGTATACTTTTTCTTACATCATCTAGAGCTCTGCATGATAATGTAATATGAAATTCGTCACATATAACAAGCTGGTTACAAATTGTACATATTCTATTTTCTGTGTCTATGTTATACCATCTGCCGGTTTCAATAGGTAATCTGTTATTGCATGTTCGCAGTTTTGTTGACCAGATACGTTGTTTCAATGGGAGACTGATTAAATAAGGTTCTAAGTTGGGAGTATGCTTATATAAGGAATAGTATTTACCTTTTGATGAGTTTTGAAGGTCAGCATTCCATGATTGTTTAAACTGATCTATAAGTGTGTATTTAACATAGTTTTTCAGCCAGGATACGGAAGGAAACCTTTGGGACTGCCATATGTAAGATAACCCAACTTTATGAAGTATACTTTTCACTACATTTAAAAGATCAAATTGAATACCCAAACAAGTTGACACATTAGCCATTACATTATACACTATATGAGGAAACTTATGTATTGATGTAATGACTTTACACCAGTAACTTATTATTCTTGTTTTAATCATTACTTCAATAGGATATCTACCGAGTTCCCCATAAACCATAAAATTTGGAGTAGATTGTCTTACCTTAAGTATATACTTACAAAATTTCAGATGCGTTCTTTCTAAAATAGCTGCATTTTCATACCCCCAAACTTCTGACTCATATAATAAAATTGGTAAAATGCATTGGTCAAAAAGTTTCAGCTGACAGTCAATTGAGATTTCAAGTTCCCTAATAGTTTTAAAAACAGAAAACATCGCCCGTGTTGCTTGTTCTGCAAGTCTCTTAATTGCTTTAGCAAACTTACCATTGCCGTTAAATAGAATTCCCAAGTATAGATATTCTCGGACAACTTCAATTTCCTCATCAAAAAGTTTAAGCCTATATTTGTTCTTTACATAGCCTTTTGAAAAGATTACAATTTTGGTTTTATCTAAGTTAACTTTAAGTTTCCACAATGTACAATATGTTGAGAAATTATCTAAGCTTAATTGTAATTCTTCAAGCACTTTCCGATAACAAAACAGTACCATCTGCATAAAATAGTGCTAATACTTTTATATACATGCCAAGCTGTTCCTCAATAAAACAATTTACAGTACCAAGTCCATTTACATTGTGCATATAGCATGATTAAATATTGGTATATATACAGCATCTCATTAAGCTGTATAAAAACAATTGTACAGTCCCAGTCCCCTCTGTTACAGAGATAAACACCGAATGACAGGAGTGTTAAGTAGCCAGAGCGGAGTTTTTCACACCATCCTCACACAGCAACTGCCTGCATTCTGGTTATAGTCGGTTCAAACATACAGCTTTAACTTTCTCCATAATGAACCAAATTATCATCCACCAGACATAACTCGGATACTATTCTCAGTGTCAGGGTTGGGCATGTCGGTTAAGCTGATTCGAGGTCACGCTACCGCTAAGATAGTAGTAAGTACGACAGGTAACTCGTCGTTTCATATACGGTCAAACAAACACAGGTCGCATCATAAATTAAATGAAAAATAATGAAAGTAGTGTTTGAATCGTGAATTTTTCTGAGATATAAACGACGGTTGTCACTTTTCTGTTGTCGAAACAAAGACGCATATTTTATCATCCTTCAACCCTGTTCAGTGTTCCAACGGTCGCTGGACAGAAAGTGTAAGGGTGAAAAAAGTTGAAGGATAGGTTTGCTTTGCCGAAGACGTGTGCAGTCTGCCGTGGTCACAAACGGGGCTTACATGTGTGATCTAGTATCTCTGCCTCGGTTGGCTTTCCCAGCCTTTGAAATTGGCAGAAATTAAATACAAGTAATTGTTATTTTGATGCTTTTTACGGTGAAGTACGGAAGCGCTGAAGGGACCTGATGAAATAAAATTTATCTTGAGCGCACGAGTTAGTATCTTGAGCGCATAAGTTAATATATTGGGCGCACACGTCAGTATGTTGAGCGCTCAACTTAGTATCTTGAGATACACTACTCAATAATCAGTTCATGTGGAAGCAAGGAGGAGCGGAAACGCGAGCTGATTCATGCTTATTTCAGTCTTTGGTTCCAAAACAAAGATATAATACATCTTCTTGTCAAAAATCATGGTATAGTATAGTACGCCACTTGAAGCGTATTCTGAGGTGTAGGTCCCTCTTTCGCACCAGATACCAGATTTGCTGATGTTACAGTGAGTGAGTGAGTACGGTTTACGTCGCTTTTAGCAATATTCCAGCAATATCACGGAGGGGGACACCAGAAATGGACTTCACACATTGTACCCATGTGGGGAATCGAACCCAGGTCTTCGGCGTGACGAGCGGACGCTTTAACCACGAGGCTACCCCACCGGCCCGCTGATGCCACAGACTTCATTGTGGACAACTTCGACGATCTGGACAAAGACATGGTTATCGCTGGATGCATAAAAAATGTATCCAATGCGGTTTAATCGTGAAACAGGATAGTGTACGTTCGTTGCTAATAGTGTTGGACCAGGATGGCGTTGAATTTCGCTCTAGACACCGTCTTCATCGACGTGTTTATTCTTCAACTTCATGTGTTGTTAAACAAGTTAAATAAACCACAACACACATACATATACATAAGGGATTGAAACGGAGGAAGTAAAACGGGGAACATAGTATTTTAGTAAGAAATAAAGTCGGTATATGTGCTATACGTGCACATACTGATGGATCAAATAAATAAGGTTTTTATTATATGATATTGTACAGAGTTAAACTCAATACATCAGACATGAGTTTTATAATTATGTATAACACTCAATGTTTACATTTTTCATGGTCATGTAATACTATGTATATATATATATATATAAATTTTATAGTTTCTTATTTTGTAGCATTTTTCAACATTTTATACAAACAAATAACAGTGATATTCCAGTATACATGATGAAAAATCAAATAGTTTTAGCAGAATAAATCATGGCATGACGACCAGAACGTGTAGAAAGCATTGATATTACAACTAATTATTGACGAACACTTTGTTAACATATAATATTCAAACAGTTTATGTTGAAAAACTTGAAAAGATGGCATAATGTTGTTAAACTTATTTCGAAAAATTAGTTCCTTGAAGAGAATTAAGATGATATTTATTGGATCATTGTTTTTATTTGGGTAACCAAGCATTACATGTTTCTTTTCAATTTTGAGTTTTATTTGTGCTTTAGCATGTAGCCAGTTCTCAAGGTTTTTTTTATATATGGTTTACCTATTCTAAAAAAATGTTTGTTGGCAAGATATGGTGTAAAAGTCTGTATTGGAACCATTGTAATCTAGTATCTTTCGTACATCTAAAGGGAATAGTATTGTAAACCAGATATCATTAGATATAATGTCGTCGAATAAAATGTTTAGTTCCCATTTCGATGCATGTTGGTTTTTTTTAAACCTAGACCTGAAATTAGAGTTTTGTACAAGTATTGCGTCCCTTTTACATTCTTACAGAGATGTTGCATATATCGGGGTAGAACAGGGTTTGGTTTGCGTGTTATTGTTTTTAAATCTGTATTGATCTTTTGAAGATATGTTTAACGGAGCAAATAAGACCATGATATTTCAGAAAATTTGTTTTTATGTCAAATTGTTTTAGAAACGTTTCAAATTGAAAGAAATTACCATTATTATGAATCAAGTCATTAATCCAGCGAACCCCGTGCTCATACCATTCTTTCTAGTAAACCGTTTTACATTCTACCATAATATTTTTATTATACCATATACTTTCAGTAAGGATTTCATTATCACTATCTTTTTCAGAGTTTAATTCAAGTTGAGATGTAAAGTCCCACCACGCTGAAACGACATCTTTGTAGTAATTATTTCTTATAAAAGGAAGTATTTTATCTCTCAAATGTTGACAACTATACTCAAATATATTTCCATAACCTATCTTTGGGAGATTCAAAATATAAAGATTTCACCATTTAGCACAGTGTGAAAGAAAGCGTCTTAGCATGGACAATTTTTGCGATTGTATTATACCTTTTATGTTGGGCATATTAAATCCTCCATCTTTTTTTATCACTAATTATCTGTTTTCTTTTTATCTTATCAGGTTTACTGTTCCAAATAAATCTGTAACATTTTCGTTGAAATGCGTTTATAACATCATCTCTTGGATTAGGAAAAGAGCCAAAGAGGTGATTTAGTTTTGGAATGATTAGTGATTTTAGAACTACATTTCTACCGAGCGGAGTAAGGTTACGGGCGGACAAGATATACATTAGTGTTTCACATGCTCCAAGTTTTTCTTTGTAATTCTCTTCGACTATATCGTCAGTATCTAGCGTAAATGTTATACCAAGTAGGTTAAAGGACGTTTGGTCCCAGTTTAGATTCTTTTTAGGAC